TTAAGGGGAAACCGAAAGGAAGGGAGGCCCAACCTGACAAGAGGCACACCCTTTTCAGGCACAGGTCCTTTTGCACCGGGGCAGGAACCACAATGCCGCCCTACTCGGGGACATGCTGGAGCAGCTTATGAGAGAGGCCCACGATTCCGAGCTGAACAACTTGCAGGGAGGGCGTTGGAGGTTCGCTGCACCAAGATGGGTGGACGTGAAACCTCCATGTCAATGTAACTTAGTGGCTCCCAGCCATCCCCTCAGCTTCTTAGCCTTTAGTGTTTAGTGTTAGTTTCCATTTAACCCGCTAAAAGTTAAACTTTTAGCGCGGGATCTGAGGGCAGCCCCGGTAAATGATGGTCAACTCCTAGGATCTTGTTGAGCATTATTTGACAGTCTAAGGCATCGCGAAGTATGGACCAGACAAACAAATCATGTGATTGGTTGGAGGTCAAAAGCTAGAAGGTAATTTGCATGTGCCCACAGCACCGGCAAACACGGTTACAAGGGTGTACACCAACTGTCCAGGAACAAATGCGGCAAACAGGCGGCAACCGATGGTCTCAGATTATGCAGTTGCTGAGGGAGGGGAAGCTAAGGGCACGATGTCCTAGAACCCACCTCCCCTTAGAGTAGGCATGGTTGTTGTTGGGAAACATTTTACATTTTGCTTTTTGTGGTCTAGTGGGAAATCCACACTTAACAGCTCCCCTTCCAACGTCAACCAAGTAGGCGTGGGGCTTTGGTGACACCTGACGTCAGGCCATGCAGGCCGAGCCGGTTGCGGGCTCAGGGCTCGTCGGCACCCGGCTGGCTCTGATTGGTTGGGGTCGTTTGTTTGTTTCTTGGTTGGTTTGCTGTCTTCTTGGTTGGTTTGTTGGCTTGTTGGTTGGTTTGTTGGCTTGTTGGCTTGTTGGTTGGTTGCTTGCTTGCTTGCTTGGTTGGTTGCTTGGTTGGTTGGCTGGTTGATTGGTTGATTGGTTGGTTGGCTGGTTGATTGGTTGGTTGGTTGCTTGGTTGGCTGGCTGGTTGGTTGGTTGGTTGGTTTGTTTGTTTCTTGGTTGGTTTGCTGGCTTCTTGGTTGGTTTGTTGGCTTGCTGGTTGGTTTGTTGGCTTGTTGGTTGGTTGCTTGGTTGGTTGGTTGCTTGGTTGTTTGGCTGGTTGATTGGTTGATTGGTTGGTTGGCTGGTTGATTGGTTGATTGGTTGGTTGGTTGCTTGGTTGCTTGGTTGGTTGGTTGCTTGGTTGGTTGCTTGCTTGCTTGCTTGGCTGGTTGGTTGGTTGGTTGGTTGGTTGGTTGGTTGGTTGGTTGGTTGGTTGTTGGCTTATTGGTTGGTTGCTTGTTGGCTTATTGGTTGGTTGCTTGGTTGGTTGGTTGGTTGCTGGGTTGGCTGGCTGGCTGGCTGGTTGGCTGGTTGGTTGGTTGGTTGTTGGCTTATTGGTTGGTTGCTTGTTGGTTGGTTGGTTGGTTGGTTGGTTGGTTGGTTGGTTGGTTGATTGCTTGCTCATGTGAGCCACAGTCCAAATGGTAGATAAACATAGGGGACTAGGTCCAGCTAGTTCCCCGCTTTTGCTTTCTCGCTTGAACGATTTCCCCCTAGATGAAGATTTGCTTCTTGGCGATCCTTTTCCTGATTTTAGGCCGTTTTGTAGAGAAGCTGTCAGTGATTGGGATTGGACAGGTTCCCTGCACAGGGTGTGGATTTTCTTGGACTGGCTTGCAACGTCCACTCGCTGGTTACACAGGGTTACATTCCTTCTGCCGATTTTTCCGCGAGCTCACCTGGGGGTATAACCAGCTCACCTGGGACAAAGGTCCTTAGCTTGGGGATCCCTGAATTCAGCTCACCTGGGGGTACAATGAGCTCACCATGATAAAGGTCCTTAGCTGGAGACCCCTGAAGTCATCTTTTGGAGTTCTAAAGTTTGCAGATTCCTTGTTGCCCAAGCACAACCCCAGCGCGGACATCATTGTTGACGCCCAGGTGCCAGACGAGTGAGTGGGATAGCACGCCCGCGCGCTGGCTTCCCAGGATCCCTTTTGCAACCAGTGCATGCGGCGATTGCAACTCAAGCCGTCAGATTCGCAGCTTTTAAGTAAGTTTCCTCCTTCGATTCTTCAGAGGTTGCTGGTTTTGACCTGCTGGTCAGGAGGCTGCCTTCAAAGCAATTGGGCTTTTGAGGAGGCCTTGCCTTGTACAAAGCCGCTTCCATTTCGGAAGCTTTCGGGTTGCCCACGGAGAAGCTGGAAACAAAAAGCGCCACGTCGGGCATCTCGAGTCAAAAGTGGTACTAGGTTTCTCAGTAGTGCCCTTTGACCGTCTTTTTTTGGGGAGGGTTCTCCTACTAAAGTAGACTACAGAAAAAATGGGTACCCTTATTCTAACCTCTCTACTGGAGGACCCATGGGGTATGCTCAGCCCTCAAATGACAGGATGTGACACGTGCACGCCTTTGTCACACATAGCAATGAATGTCGACCCTGGATGACTCAACCTTGGGGATCCAGAGAAAATGTATCCCCTTCCCAAACTGAATCGACTCCGAAGTGAGACACCCTCTATGAATCAACCGGGTCCAGCAGGGCAGTTTGGAAGCAAAGCACTGAACACCAAGACTTGAGTGACGGGCGCGCCTGGCTTCGGCTCAAAGCTCTGTACAGACCCTTCGGTAGACGGACCGGGTTGAGGGGAACAAGCCTTAGCCAGGAGCACTGGCCCGCTGGCCAGAATGCTGTCAACGCTCGTTTATGAGTTATGCAAGCCGTTCTTTGGAGCCCCAAAGAAAACAAAAATCAACCCGTTTCAGCTTGTTGCATGCTGAGTCAATAAATATATTCCAATCGGTGCTTGCAAAATTCAGCGCTTCGGGGAGCCACTAGCTTGGTCCCCCAGACGGAACCGCACCCGTGCGGCCGCACGGAACCGCGTGGTTCGGTCAGACCGTCCCGATGGGTATGCTTTCTGGTGCCTTGCAGCAGGACATGGCAGTCATGGAGGACTGCTTGACTAGCGCTCGTTGTGCTGGTTCCAAGGTGGCAAGGGAAGCCGTTGCAACTTGGTCTAATGGTGACTGTTGGGGTAGTAGTGACCATTAGAGGGCCATAACCCTGCCCTGGCTCCCCTTGCTGTGGCTCTGAATCAGCATTGGAATTACCTGTGTTACGTCTGTAGTTGTCCTTGGTGTCTCCCAGCCAGAACCTTAGACTCTTGGATGTTTAGTTTAGAGGGATGTAGAACTTTCTCACCCAAAGGTCAACTTTCAGCAAGGGAGCAACGAAACACTAATCTTCGAACCGGGTGTTTGCTTGAATGAGAAAGCCCCTCAAAGGATGATCCACGAGCGGGTTGTCCATCATATCGGCCTATTAGTTTCAGAATTGTGTGCCAACAACACACAGCTGATTGGCAACAATGGCAACCCACGCTATGGAAAGTGCCAAGCTCACCTTGAATGGTAGGGGACAACCTTGCGTGATCTATGGCAAGAATCCATGAGACAAGGCAGACGCTGCCCACAGCTTCTGTGCGTAGATTGAATCTCACCGGTGAAATATACTGTGGCTGGACGAAATCCTGCACCACTTTGAAGCCTTGGGAAACCATCATTTTTTGGTATTTAGGTAATCATTCCATGGTTTCTTAGTGGTGCAGGATTTCGTCCATCCACAGTAGCATCACTTTTTGTGGAGCGTGTTCAATTACGTCGCTTCTGATACAGGCGCCCAGGATCCCATAGGCCTCGTCACGCAGCACACCGGTTCAACGTCAGGACTACTTCTTGGACAAGGCTCCCGAAAGCGGAAGCTGGTTGGATGTGCAAACCAGGTGCACTATAACCGTGGCTAAAAGCCGAGACGCCCCAGTGAATTACTGCAGATATAACCTGAACCTACTCAACATGCAGCTTGAACATCCAAGTTAAAGTGTCAGCGCCAAGAACTGTTACCCTTTGAATTCCCCGAAGCTCAGATAAAGTGTAGAGGAAACCAAAGCCCTACCCGTGGTAGAAGCACTTTTTTCATGCTCATGAGCCTGGCTTGCCGGCTGTTCTGCGGTCCTCAGGAGAAGTTGCTTTTCACACCAGGACCCCCCCCCACCCAAATAAAACGGCTGCGGCTATCACGTATTTTGGGCTATTTGGAGGGCCATTGAGAGGCTGGTTGAGTGGCACCTTCAGTGCAGCAAGAAAGCAGTAGATGCCCCAACACGCAGGGGGTATTTTTTTGAACTGATTCAGGGTCAATTGGTGGAGGCTCATTTCAATTTCATAGACTTGTTTTTTTTGAGATGACGAAGCCCCACAGACCTTCAACACCAAAAGGCTGCAAATAGCTCAACAAGGATATGGAACCCTCCAACCAGGGTGATTGGTTCCCTCCAAAACACACAACTACCGAGGAGCCCCTGCATATGGCAAGTCAACAAACCTCAAACTTCTGATTCCCAACTTGTTCCCTGTTACCCTAAATGGCTGTATGTGTGGTTGTTTGTTTGCTTTGTTTGTTTGTTTGTTTGCATGTCTGTTTGTTTGTAGCCCACATGTTTTTTTTTTTCTCGTTCGGACGCCAGGTGGTGTGGGTCACAGGGGCCTCCGGTGGCTTTGGAGAAGCTCTTTGCGTAGCGCTCTGTCAAGCCGTGCGGGGCCTCGGAGCCTCGACTCTATTCTCGATGGTCATTTTTTGGTGGCAAGCAAAAAGAGTGGACGGAAGTGAGCCTCTTAGTCCCTGAGTGTTTGCGAAGACAATATGTGTTGGGACCGTTCTGGTGGTAAAAACAGTCTGGATCTTTATTGGCCAATCCAGGAAGTGAGTTGGGCAAGAGGGATGTCCTGAGTTGGCTCCGACTAGCTAACATGGGTCTGAATCAGAGGCACCTTGAGACCGTTCTCCTCTTACAAACTGATCAGTTCCACGCCGGGAGGGTTCCCTATGGTTCCCTTAGGTTTTTTGGGGGGAAACCAAAAGGAAAACCGTGGGTTCGTTTGCAAGAACATGAAGCCTTGCCTCT